CCCAGTGTGGGGCTGGCCCTTTAAACCGGCCTGTTGCTGAGCGGAAAGCGGGGCCACCCACAGCCGCCGGCCCTCTGCCCCGCAGGAAGCCTGGCTTCTGAGAAAACACTAGCTTCCAGGGCTTTCCAGCACTGGGAGCGGGGAGTGTACAGGCTCCAGGGGGCACATCTGCGAAGACCCCTTCTGCTGACACGAGGAACTGCAGCCAGCCCCCTGAGCGGGCGCTGACCCGCCTGGCAGGGACCCCGGTTTGCTCTGAGAGGCCGTGGTCTGCAGAGCCTGGGGGCGGAGGGGCAGACGACCCCGAGAAGCAAAGTCCCTCGCCATCCTCGGCGCCATGATGCCCACAATGTCGGCGTTTCTTGAACCCATGACGTTAATAACGCTTTCCATCTGAACTGTCTGTAGAATTTGACTGGGAACTATTACCCTATGAACACACAATCTGACTCAGCGAAGAAAAGGGACTTCACTCTATAAGACGTGTTCCGTCAGCATCTGGAAGGCACACGCCCCTTAGGGGACAGCCTGTGGGCGGCTCTGCCCGACCCACGGCTGCAGTGCCGGGCTCCAGGTAAGGCCATCACTCAGCCCCACAGGCGTGAAGGGAGCACCGACCCGACCCGGTTCTGAGGGCCGCCCACACCAGTGCCGCCCAGCCCTGCACGTGGCTGGGGACCAGTCTCCGCTCCTCACCCCACGGCCTGCCCCACGGCCCTGCCACACCCTCCCTCTGGCACCGGCCACAGCCCCTGCCGGGAGGCTGCATGGACAAGCGGGTGAAAGGGCGCGGCCTGCGCGGCCGCCATGGCTGCTCCGCGGCCCACGTCTGGAGGGAGCGTCACGTCCCGGGGCCCGAAGCCAAGGAGCAAAGCGGCAGGTGGACAGCTACCTCTCTGGCCTGACGTAGGAGTAGATGGTGTCCAAGGGAGGCAGAGGGTCAAAGCCCATCACAGACTGCGTGGTCACATCCTGCAGAAAGGGACACGGTGGAGGTGGCGCAGAGGCTGGCACTGCTCACTGACACCCTCCGGCAGCCTGTCAGCCGGCCCCGGTCTGCATGGACCTCGCGGCCGCAGTCGGCCCTTGGCGCCGGGCTATCCACCTTCAAAGGCTCCGGGTGAGGGGTGGGGGAGCCGTCTTCCCCCCAGGACACTCGCTGCTCTGCCCAGGCCTGGTGACTCAGTGGGGTAAGTAACAGAATCACATGGTCGCCTTCGCACAGGCCACCACTTGTGCTCAGGACTTCGGGAGGTGACTTCAGTGCAGCAGGCCACAGGCCACAGGGCCGAGGCGAGGGTGCCTGCACGTGACCCGCCCCGGGGGAAGGCCAGCTCGCAGAAAGCTCCTGGGGCAGCCTCCACTCACCGGGGGCAGTGCAGCCACAGCTTCCTTGATCTCGGACAGGACCACGTGACGGTGGATGTTTCTGGGTGCACGCTGGTACAGCGCCTTGCGCCTAGGGCCCCGGAGACAGGGACAGCACTGGAGTGGAGCCCACCCCACCCCTCCCAGGTCTGCGACTGAGGTAGGGCCCACTGGGCCGAGCGCTACCCTGTCCCCTGTCCCCCAGCCCACCTGCTCTCACATGCCTCCACGGCGGGGTCCCCGGCGTCCACCGCCTGCAGGACCTCACGGACATTCTCTTCCAGCCAGCTCATGGTGGCGGGCTCCTTCCACAGGAAGTGCGACCGCCCGAGGTACAGGCTCACCAGCTGGCTCAGGGCAGGCGGCTGGCTGTGGGAAGGCAGGGCCTGTGAGAAGACCCCCCGGGCTGGGCCTCAGGTGCCTGCTGGCGGCTGCGGGGGGCTTCCAGGGCTTGCCCGCAGGGAGCCGGGGGGTGCACGTGCGTGCTCTCCGCACCTCGCAGGAGCCCTGTCTAACAGGGATGGAGCACAGCAAAGGGACCCGGGCTGCAGGCTCTGCCCCCTTCTGGTGGGGAATGTGGTGCAGGCCACTCGTGCCTGACAGCTCCGTGTCCATAGGCAGGGGTCCCAGCCCCTGCGGTGGGGGACAGTCTCACTGCCGATGCGACGTGTGGCAGCACCCGCCGGGAGCAGGCACCCCCTCGGAGCGCACACGAGCATCTGTCCCCAGGGCACCCTCCAGTCTTCACCTTATCTCGGCGTCGGGTCCGAAGAAGCGGTGGCCGGCCACAGCGGCGTCCGGCCGCACGCTGCAGTACTCCAGCAAGGGCATCAGAACTGCGGGCAGGAGCAGAGGCCCCGGTGTCACGCACGGCCTTCCTCGGGAGGGGGTGGGGGCTGGGGGGACACACACCTCCAGGGAACATGGTGAGGGCTTGCTGGAGCAGGACGGAGGCCTTTTCCCGCGCGCAGGCCAGCTCCTGCTCGGGGAGGTCCGCTT